AGGGGATATCGCGACGTAAACGGTTAATAAATATCCTACTTCAAGTTTCCCAAAGAAAAACTCGCGAGAAAGCAATGGCTTCATGCAATCCGTCGAGAGGAAGGAAAAAGCTTCAAAGTCTTGGACTCAACCATGGTCTGCTCGCACCATTTTAAAATGGAAGACTTGAAGAAAAGTATTGCGGGCAAAATATGCCTTCAAACCAATGCTGTACCTTCGGTATTTCAGTGGCGTACTTCGCTGCGCAAAAAAAGCCTCCACCTCAAAGATTCACTAGTAAAACAACTACTCATCAATCATTCAGGGATTTATTCATGGTGTGCACACTCGGAAAGCAGCGTAAATGATAAATCGAATGAACAGCTAGAGAGTCAGATTACAACTGTAGAACCTAATGAAAAGAATGTCGAAAATTAGGCAAAGACAAAAGATGTCGAAACTCAGACCGATTTGGTCGAGTCGAAGGATGCATGCATTCAGAGTGATCAGAGTGTTGTCGCGCTTGTGAAACAGTATGAAATGAGAATAGAAGAGCTCTAAAGAGAAATAGAAAGCATTTCAAAGAAGAATGAATGTTTAAAAAGTAGACTTTTTCTACTGAAAGATTTCACGCCGACAATTCTGCTGTGTCCTGCTACACTTCGTTTCCTAACAACGCTATTTTAATGGAAATCTACAATTATCTAGACCCCAGAGCGTGTTATATGATTGTTTTATTCCGCTCTGGTAAACAGAGGCATCTTCTGAAGTGAGTAGTTCCACATACTAGATTCAGAGAATTTGACGGGAACATGTCGTTTAGCGGCGGAGTGTGAACTTGTGTTGTTTGCCGAGCGCAGTTGTTTTCGTTTAGAATAAAGATTATTGGGATCAGGATCAATGATGTTTTTAACCTTTCCGCTCTTGATGTATTAAAGTATAAGAAATTAGGTCAATTTAAGTGTAAGTAATCACAATTGACAATTTTCTCAAGCAATCAAAACACCTCGAAGTACGCATCTTGTGCTCGAAACTAGCCTTGTCACAAGCTTGCTTTTGTCTTTAAACCTTTCGCTGGGTCACCTCTGCCCTTCAACCATAGTCTCAAGTCCTCAGTCTTGAATTGTGAGAGATTTCTATCTCCTAAGGAAGCTCCAGGAATGTCATTTTCGGTTAAAAAGCTCGAGGAATTGTGAGAGTTTGTGTAGTCGCGTCGCCATGTGTTGCCCGGGTGGCCTCGCTTTCGTGAAATTATTCATAACCAGTCTCAGACCTCCATCAGATTTTCCGCCATTATGGCAAAGGTGTATAGACCCTTCTGTGCAGGAGTCGTACATATTACAATAATCTCTCCAAGAATCTGTTATTTCTAACTACTGTTGTTAAATTCATTATGTAAAAATCTGTAAACTGGTTTTCCAGACCTTGGAAAAGTATGGAAACAAAGGTATAGTTTTGAAAGGGAAACGAAGCCGTTGATAAAGTTCTGTCAGAAGGTTTTCTTTCCTGGGTAAAATGTTTGCCAGCAGGTCGGATGAAGTTTTGTCTGAGTGGAATCATACTGGAAATTATCGTTGAATTTTGAGGTATTTTGTACATTTGTTTCAGATGTTCAGTACTTCTCACCTTCTGTATAATTCATTCCTCAGGACAGACAATGCAGAGGAGAAAAACAAACTAGTCCGTGAGAGGAGATTGGCGAAGAAGGTGGCTCGGGAACAGTATTCTCTGCGCATGTCCGCGCTGTATAAACTGTCTGTCGCAAATCATTTTCGTGATCACGTGTTCTGGCTGCCAATCAATCTGGACTTTCGAGGAAGAGTGTATCCCATTCCCCCACATTGTGCGCATGTCGGTGAGTACTGGATCTGACTTTGTATGTCGCGAGAAACCTCTGGAGATTACACAAATAATAGATAGTTTGAATACTCGATAGTTTGAACTATCGAGTATTCACCACTTCAGATACTGAAAATCACAATGACTGAGATCATAGCAGAAATTTGTTTGTCGGGAGCTTTGTTGGGGAATGGGGTGGGAGGGGGATTTTTCAGTGGGGGGTTACACTGCGTCAAACAGAGGGTTCTCACCAGATTTACCTGTCGACCTTCATGCTGTGTTTTACTTTAAAAAAGTGCGTACAAGAAGGGGGTCATAGGCACCCCAGGGCCCCACCTAGCTACGCCCTTGCGGGGAGGAAGGGGTACTACATTCAAGCCTTAATGTGCTATAACAGGTAGATGCTCTAGCATTTGCATCGCATTCTGTATTTGCATTAGGTTTCACTGTTGTCAATAGAAAATTACTCTTGAACATAATATGAAATACCGTAACTTTTTGTCCAATGAAACATTAACATTTTCAAACAATCGTTTATGGGCTTTTTCCTTCTAAAGCTGATTGATATTAACTTTGTCTCTGTTAAGGTGATGATTTGAGCAGAGGAATGCTTCAGTTCGCCAAAGGAGTTCCTCTGGGAGAGAAGGGCCTGGACTGGCTCAAAATACATTTAGTGACGTTGCACGGAGCCAAGAAGAAATCATCTTTGCAAGAACGTTTGGATTACGCCAATGAGATTATGGATGATATAGTGGACTCTGCCAATAACCCTCTGACGGTAAGTACGCTAAGAGCATAGCAACAACAACAACAACAACAACATGTTTATTTACAATCACAATTTAACTTCTAGATTAAGACTACCTACAATATAGCGAAGCTAATCGAGGCAGGTAGTATGAGAAACGTGTCAATTACATATTAATATAATATTATTCTAATGACAAAAAATAAATAACAATTACAAAGGTACAGATGTCAATTACAGAGTGAATACAAAAATATAGGTATACTAATTACGAAGTCACGAGCACATAATTAAAAACAGGAAAAGCTCAAAATACTCTATTTTAACGAAATCTAGTTTCTTGTCATTTCATTTATTAATGTATCAATATCAGGATAAGAATCCTGGTTTAGAAGGATTTGAATTAAAGATTCGGTTATTTTTTTCTTGAAACTATATTTTGGGAGCTGTCTTAAAACATTAGGAATACAGTTCCAAAATTTGCGCCCATAGAGGAAAAAGAATTCTTATAGGGATTTAGTCGAGAGTAGTTTATATAGAAGTTACCAGCGGTTGAAGATCGTGTGTTATAATGATGAGCATCTTTAATGGGTCTAAAGAGAGCAGAAATGTTAGATGGGACGACTTTGTTATAGACATCATGCATTAAGATAGAGCAATTTTTAAAGTTGATTAAAGGTAAAGGCAGAATATTGGTATAGATCAAAAGTGGAACAGCGTGAACATTAAACTTAGAGGTTTGGTTGGCTGTCGAGAGTGAAACTAAACTTATCAGCTGTGTCGGCTCAATAAGATGCAATCGTCTTATAATTCAATTAACCATTGAATTCCCAAGATCTGATTACAAACTCTCTCCTCTACAAGTTTAGCTGATGTACATTTTCTTAAAAGATAATGATAAGAGAAATTCTTGAGCAATTTTCAATTGATTATTGCCACTCCTTATTGTTTCGTTCTATGAAAGTGTGAGTTGACACTGATGTTCAGATTAAGTCAGTTACTCATATTTGTACCCTGAAGTCCGATCTCAACCTTACTATACTGTTAAGCGCGACTGAATATATCCACATAGAAGTCTTCGCTATATAAAAATAAATGTAAACGTAAAAAAGTTCCTTTCCTGCTTCAGGGCCGAGGCTGGTGGAAGACAGCTGACGATCCGTGGCAAACGCTGGCCACTTGCATGGAGATCGTAGACGCCATGCAGTCCCCAGACCCAACGCTGTATATTTCCCATCAGCCAGTGCACCAGGATGGCTCGTGCAATGGTTTGCAGCATTACGCTGCCTTGGGTCATGACAGTTATGGCGCTAGGCAAGTCAATCTGATGCCCGCTGATCGACCTCAAGATGTTTACGAGGAGGTATTTTAAAACGAACCGTTCTTTCGCAAAGTTAGATTAATTAAACCTTTCACTTCGTAGATCTGATAAGTAGTTCTTTTTACTATTCGTTATCTTCGTCGCAAATTTGGCTCAGATTGTTTTTTGATTCCCGTATATATTGGTTTCCTCGAGGTTCGCTAGATTCTCTTTCTCAGACTCTTCTTATGACGGGTCACACACCATGGTTTTGTCCGCAGACAATATATCAATTCCTCATTTCAACATAAAATTAAGTATTGATTTGTGAGTTTAGGATTATGTGTAGAACAGACTAAATGCTCTAAACCACACAACATGTGTTCCATTACTTGTTTTCTCTCCTGTAGGTAGCAAAACTTGTAGAAGCAACTAGAGAGCGTGACGCTGCAGACGGTAACGAAATCGCTAAGGATCTGGAAGGAAAAGTCACGCGTAAGGTGATTAAACAGACAGTGATGACCATTGTTTACGGCGTCACTTTCGTCGGCGGCCGATTGCAGATCGAACGACAATTGCGAGACTTAGATATGGACCCGAAGCTTGTTTTTAAATGTTCTCATTACCTGGTGAACAAGGTTTTTGCCAGCATCGGAGAGATGTTTACAGCAGCAAGTGCCATTCAGGTTGGTTTTGTTCTAAAGATATTTGGTGAACACCACGCGAATCGAAAATTTTGTTTTCCTTAGCATTTACGTAAGCTGCAGGACTCAAAATAATCCAGTAAAGATGAGTGGTTTTACCTTTTTTTAATAAAGATTCATTGTAAGTCCAGTGCCATACCAGGAAATATTTCGTCAGGATTGCAAACATAAACAGTGAGTTACGGCATTATTTGAGTTGCGTTAAAAACATCCTACATGTTAAAGGACCCTTGGTTGGTCTCCCTCGGCAAAAAGGAAAGATGAGACCAACACATCCAAAGACTTATTTAAGCGGTAACTCCCGTGAGTGGCTAGGACAGAATTTCTCCCCCCCATATGAATACAAAATCGAGCAGACGGGGGTATAGAAAAATATCAATTAGGGGATTATAAGTTGATCCAATACCAAATTCCCAGAATTAACATCATAAAAATTGTATGACAGACAGTAAGGGGAATTACTATTGAGATCTTAGAAGTGAAAGTTAACATTGTGTAAGAAGATGGACTATTTACATCTACTTCATGTGGCCGTATTTAATTACAGAGAAAGTAAAGACACTTGGAATATAGAGTAAGATTTTCAAGGAAGGTGTCGGGTTTTTCATTTTTTTGTTCAATATTTTTGCTAAGTACAGTTCAATTCTCTTTCTTGCAGAACTGGTTTGCTTCATCAGCCACACAAATCGCCTTAGTTGGTCACTATGTAGACTGGTACACTCCTCTGGGGCTGTATGTCAGACAACCCTACTGCAAAAAGCCTCTTAGACACTCGATAAAAACAAATCTTCAGTGGTTGCTGTTAAAAGTTAAAGGGCTTCCTGATATTCCCCCCGACTCGCGGAAACAGCGCGGTGCCTTCCCGCCAAATTTCGTACATTCCCTGGACTCTACGCATATGATGCTTACCGCGCTGTATTGTCAACGGTCTGGGTCAACTTTCGCTTCTGTGCATGACAGCTTCTGGACGCATGCGGCCAACGTGGATGTCATGAATCGAGTAAGTTGAACGGAGATAAAGTGACAGCCAATCAGGGACCTTGTTTAGGGGAATCATATGGTAGATTTTTTGTCAGAATAATTAGTATTTTCGCATCATTCTTTGTCGTAGCTAAGAAATTTGCTTATTAAACGCGCATGTTAGAGCTACCTGAACATGCGAGCACGGAGTACCAGATGTGTTTGGGATGGTAATCTTATCTCTATACACTGCTCTCGAAAAAGAGATGTAGATTTATGAAACCTGACTGTAAATAGGGCTGTAAGACGGTATGCGTTCCAGTCCTTTGTAGCTCCTTTTGAGCAAGTGTAGTGTATATCGTTCTGTTGTCCTTCTTCATAGCGTCTGTTTTTAAGGTGATTTTACTGTGGATACGAGTTTGTCGGAAAACGTTTTGCTTAGTCGTTTTGGTGTATTGTTATATATTCTTATTGTAACTCATTTATTGGTGCCCCTATTTGAATTACTTTCTGATGGACGAACTGAGTGAAAGAATGACTGACGGTCAACCTGGTCTATTAATCAATTGACTAACTGTTTGATTATTTGATTGATTGATTGACTGACTGATAATCGTTTTCCCATTTACAGATTTGCCGC